TTGCAGTGAAAGGTTAAGCGTTTAAATTTAGAGCCAAACTTCTGCCAAGTAATTATATAACGTGACATCGTCGAGCTCAATTTAACACATCGCGGTTTATCTATCTATCAGGATCGTGTCGAAGAGGCTTATGATAGAAGCTTAGTTCCAATCTCATATTTGGAGCTGCTTTAGTTTTAAAAGCTTGTGTGTTTGCTCAATTTATTGTTTTTGGAAATGAGCTTCGTGTTCTTTCAGTCTGGGATAACGTACATATTTAGAATTTCACACAATGTTCATGTGGCAACTGAGACTCAATGTCACGTCGTGTGAAATAAGCATCGCTCATCAGTATCATTTATTGTCTTTCCTCCTTCCTTCCTTAAAATGTCTTTGCAGCTAGCTAAACGAGGGACCGGGTTTATAAAGCTTTTTGTAATTCCTTCTGTTCCTCTTTGTTTATGTTGCAAAAATGTAAAGGGAATATACATGATGTAAGTATGTAATATAGCATGGACAAATAAATACATACATTTATCCATATTTGAGAGAATATAAAGGACTATATAACCCTGCTGTATTGAAAACAACCATAATTGAAACATGGAAGTACAGATTTGATAAACATTTAAAAGGAAAACATGAAGTTTCTGTCCCACAATGAGAACATAAACTCAAATACCAAAATCTTACAACATCGGCTAGCTGTCCTGGGGCCGTATTCCTAAAGATTCTTACTGCTAAAAGTTGCTCCTAGTGGCCAAATTCTAAGAATTTTCTTAGAATCTTGACCAACTCTTAGAATTTCCCCTAAAAGTGAGGAGTAGCTCCTAGTTAAGATAAAAGCTATTCCTAAAAAATCCTAGCTCTTAAGAGTGCTCTTAAGGGGAGATCCCTTAAGAGTTGAGAGGAGGACTTTTAGCGACTTAAAAGTTCCCTAAGAGCACAAAATGGTGGACGGTGGAGACAGGAGAAATATTCTATACACTGGATGACAGTGAATCAGTGAAACGCTACAGATTCAAGCAGGAATCATGTTTGTGGTATATTTAAAAGTCAATCATGTGACCAGCTTCTCATTGGCTGGTCAGCAATAACACCTCATCCATTTTACCTTTGTTACACAAAAGTAAGTAGAAATGGTAAAAGTTGAAAGAGAGGAAAAAGTGGTCCTAAATTGTCACACATTCAGTACGAATGAATTAATACTTTATTTTGAGCCATGGCAAACAAGAAAAAAAAGGACAAAACAAACAAAACAACAACAGAATAGAAGTACAAATATACAGTTTTGTTTTATTAACAACAATCCAGCTCAAAAAGGAGTGGGAGAGGATAAGACTTTTAAGCTCCCTTGTACTTGATTTGTACAGTGTATGTATAATATGTTTATATTAATATTGTTTCCTTAATTCCTTATAAGTCTATACATATCACAGCCTTTACTAATCCTAACGTTATCATTATCATAATTTATCCATATAATATTTATAATAATAATTTTCTTTATCATGTATATTATATATAGAGTAATATTTAAATTATATGTATATATATATATATATATATATATATATATATAAAATTATAAGTGCTCATGATATATACGTATTATGTGTGATAAATTGGTGCTGAGCAAGCTCTGATGATGGTGTATAAGTCTAACTTTACTATTCACAGTATTTATGTACCATTGATATATCTGACTTTATAGCTTTTGGTTATTATTTACAATAACACAGTGTTCCTAAGATTAGATTCCATGATTGAGTTTGTCCATTTTAGGGCCCTTATTTTGCCTATTATCATCAAAATATGTTTGTTCTAACTTTTAGGATCAACCAATCACAGCGTCTGAAATGATGACTCATACCTAGCAACGGGGTCGGCCACGCCTCCTCACTAAGATAAAAGTTGTTGTCAATTCCTTGCTCAGAGTTCTCTAAGTGTTCTGGAATAACTTTTAAGCTAAGACTCCTAGCTAGGAGTTTTTAGGTTAAGATAAGAGCTCTCTGAGAGGACTCTCAGAATCTTTAGGAATACGGCCCCTGAACTTTTTCCCCAATAGAAAAAAGTTGGTTTAAATGATGAAAAATGAAGTAGCAGCACAGTAATTCAGGGTTCTAACTTAAACTGTGTAAGATTTACCAATTGGGGTTTAGGTTGGACAAGTGGTTGAACAAGACACAGTGGTTGCATCCAAAGAGTGCCTTCTCATTTATCCAAAACTCAAAGCTTTTAACTAGTTCTTTCTTTTCCTGTAAATTGAAGTAATTTGAGTTGTGACATGATCTATGATTTATCATGAGCCTGATAAATTAGCATGCATTGGGCTGTAGAATGCATTCATAATTGTCCTGGTTTGATCCGAGTTTAGTCCAGAGGTGGTTGGTCTACTGTAGTACTTGCATAGCCACTAGCGGCTTTAAAATGTTTGCATTGGTTGAGTTGGCATATGTTTGTCCCACTTTGGAATTGCATTGATCTGTTTTAGCCTATAAGAGGAAAAAATACATTTCTTCTAAATGCTGACTCCTTATTGTGGTCTTGTACTACAGGATATAAACTGTGTCTGTCCACAAAGCAAAGCTAGTGAATAACAGTGAGTTTTTCCTCTTTAGTAACACATCTCAAGAATTATAGATTACCTTACACTGGCATAAACTTTGAAGATTAAGTGAATAGATAGACAAGGTGCAGGATAAGGATAAGCCACCGTGCGGGCGGCACGGTGGCTGAGTGGATAGCACTCTCGCCTCTCAGCAAGAAGGTCCTGGGTTCGAATCCCGGCCGGACCAGGGCCTTTCTGAGTGGAGTTTGCATGTTCTCCCTGTGTCTGCGTAGGTTTCCTCCGGGTACTCCGGTTTCCCCTACCACTAAAAATATGTACAATAGGTCTGGCATGCGCCTCCTGTTCGGCGACCCCACTCCCATCTCTGTGTGGAGTGAGAGGACAAGTGCCCAAAAAATAACAATTGTAAACCGCTTTGTGACTCTGGTCTGTGAAAGGCGGTATATAAATAAAGCTTACTTATTTACTTACTTACTTAAGCCATGTCTCTTAGCAACAACTTCAACAAAGCAGGTAATATGAAACATTTTGCAATAAGAATTACAACATAAAAGAGAATAATAGAAAACCGATGCACCAGGAGCGAGACAAAGCAGTCCACGCACAGAACAGATCTGCACAATTAATCGCAAGTGAAATGGCAATTTTAGTTGCTGTAATTAGCAAATGGCAAAGACCACAATTATATAGATTACATTATTTTCTTTACAAACAACAAATGATCTGTTGCATATTATGCAAATCTTGGGGCACTTCAAAAACAGGCTAAAGTAAGTTCAAATTTTATTTAATTACTTTTAATATGAGTGCATTTTGACTGTTTATCTGCCAATGGAAAAAGCAAGTGCAGTCTTCTATAACTCTTGTATCCACAGTTTTAAGTGGGAATTAACTAATCATTTAGTTTCACCAGTGAAAATATCATCAAATGAATTGTATGATATTAAATTTGAATTCCACAATACCTTAGCTTCATAACAGGAATCCTAAATCAAATCGTATTCACAATGGTTCCCGGAAACATTGCAGTTGGAGGTTTGTTTATGATAGTGCAGCCCTAAACGGAGCTGGTAAAAAAGTGCCTCAGTGTCAGCTGTGTGTTGGGGAGACCCTCAAAGACCTGCGTCAGTGTGATTGGATGAGTGGCTGAAAGAGTGTGCACACTATGGCACACTGCTGTTGTCTGTTTCATTTAAAAACACGTGGATATAGATCCTTTTACAAGGTATTAGGATAAGGATTACTATTGCAACAACACATCATCAGTAGGGTAAAAATAACCTGTCTCACGATTATTGTGATATATTGTATGTATTGTAGAATATACTGATTGTATTTTTATACTGATGTCAAGAGATGGTAAAATGTATTTTCAGCTTCTTTTACTGCTTTTTGCCATACCTTTTTAGTCTAAGGGTGTAAGGTGTATAAGGTTGTAATTGTAGAAATGACTATGTTAATAATTAGTAACTTACTGTTTCAGTGTGTGCTTTATGACAGTTCAAAAGTATTTAAAAGTGTTATTGCTACCTTTCTTTTCGACTGATTGTTAGAGGCGCCGCTTTTTGAAGTAATATATCTGCAGTGTTTGTCCATGCATATTTCCCATCTCACCCACCTGGGTTGGCCCATTTGTGCTAATAGCTGCTAACAACCTCTAATCAGCCGTGATTTCACTCAGCGACAGTAAATTAACACTTAATACGTCATCGTGAAATCCAGCCCTGAGCATAAGCGTGTGTGAGTGTGTGTGCTCTGTACATAGTGGTGTAGGGCTCGAAACGCATCATCCTTGCCTTTTTGGCACACTCCCCGCTGCATATCGTTGGGATCCTGTTTGCCTTCAGGGACCATGCTCACTGTACGGGTCGCAGCATATGTTTACCCATGTGGTTTTTGCTGTTCGCATATATACAAAGGTCACGCTACTTTGGTTAAGACTTTTGACAATAACCACATGTCGGAAGCAAGACACCCGCTGCTTTTCGCGATATATATATTTTTTGCTCTTCCAGATCGACCACTTGGATAAATCCCTGCTATTTTTCACTTAAGATAATTAATGCTGTTATTACTGTATGCGTAGTGCTATAATTATCCAAGCAGGGAGGCCTACTGTAGCTCTATAATGGGCAACATGGCGGACTGACCCACAAGCCTAGTTACAGTGTCGATGTTACGTTTTCCAATCCAGCAGGTACATTTATTAACTGATTTTATATTTGTTATGGACTTTTATTAGTTGCAATACTAACACTTTCAGTAGTGTTGCATTGAAAAAGAAAGTGTTTGAGACGTATATGGAGCTTTAGATGGTAGATTTTGTGGCGTTCATCTAAAAAAAAGGTTTACATGGATTTGACTAAAACCTTTTGTGTCCAGCCTGTCTTCTAATGTGCATGTTGTCTGTTCTGTTGCAGGTAGGGCTGTTCAGTGAATTTCTCCATGAATGTACGTCACAATGATGATGACAGACCAGCTGGACTTGGCTCCGCCCCCTCTCCTGAACCCGGAGGTCCCACTGATTCCTCACATGGTTAACGGAGACGCAGCGCAGCAGGTAAAGACCCCAAAACAGAAAGATATCTTTTTAAACCAGAAGAACGACAAGAGCATGTTTGTGCAATTATTTCATGGTTCAATTAAAACTCAGATTTTGACTGTGTAAAGTTTTATGACAGTTCACCTTAAAAAAAATTATTCAGAAAGAACAGACAAAAAGTGATGACCATGAGAGTTGGAAGAGTTCTAAAAACATGAAATATGTAAGAAATGTTGGGAAAGATGTGTAGGACTCCAGGCCACAGTGTGGACTGTGTCCTGAGGTGATGAGCTCTTCTGCTACTTTGGTGCCTAACGGGATATTTTAAAATGTGATTAATTGCACAGCTCTACAGTCATTAACTTCAATGTTTTAAAAATAGGATGGTGGAATAATTTTAGTGGCTACTCTAGATGGTGTATTGAGGTGTACCAAGTCAGAACTAACTGGGGGAAAAAGGCCGTTTGTTCAAATATTGGAAATAATTATTTCTGAAAATCAAATGTACTTTGTCTAAGCAGATGTCAAAAGTCATGTGAAAGTATTGTAGTCAGAAGAGCGCACCTGGTTGGTTAACATTCTTAAGTTGAATCATTGTCTCTAAAATACAACATGTTTTTCCCCAGGTAAGGAGCTGCTGCCAGTAAATTGTGTATTTAACAGGAAGTAGAGCCGAGAGACAGGCCACACCACTAAGCACCTAACTCTGACTGCTGATCTGAGCACTTTTACAATTCACTGCATTCTGATGATAATGCTGCGACCGCTGTTAGAACATCTGGTGTTAAGATGACAACAAAGACTACATTAAGATCTTGTTCTTATTAGGCCACTTTATAGTACAAGAAGACAGCTTTGCAGATTAGCATGCTATATTTCACAATAATAATACAGGAAAATCATACATAGACTTGGATCAAGTTTCCACAAATTAGATACAATTTTAACCACTTTGCAACAACCGGCGCGCCGGCGGCGGTTTTTATGTTTTTAAATGTTCTGCTGGCAATAGCAGATGTATTTTGAACACCAAACCCCAAAAGCTGTATATCATTTTAAAGCTTATTTTCGTATCTACATTTATATACAAGTGTAAACTACAGACTTTGCATTCAAAAGATATAACACATACTGTGGGCACAAAATAAATCAATTCCGAAATAGTTTTTTACCTTTGGGCTTGTGCTGTACAAATAAATCAGCTCTCCTCCCAGCTTGCAATACATCATTCTCTCTGGAACAGTCCAAAGGAAAATTATATCCACTTGTATTTCCCAAAGTAAAATCCATTCTGCAGAAATAATCCAAAAATGTGCATTTATCTTTAGCGAAAAAAACGAAAAAAAAGAGCACAGATGTTACTCTTTCACTTTTAACGGACTTTTAGCTTTGTTTTTCACCCAAACATCTGGTATCTACATGTTCCTTAGCTCCTTATCTTTCAAATGAGACTACTCCCGAAAAGCTAGACCAATTTTTGGGTTTGCAATAGGTCCCGCAAGTACCGCTCGTGCTGCTGTTTGCGCATAGAGGACTGATCTTTGTTGTGCTCCCAACTTGTTTGCTTTTACTTCCGGGATTTACGATTGACATGTCCTTGTAGCCAATGAGGAAAGCTTTCGAACAAGGGGTGGGACAATGGTGTCCTGTCTTATGTTGTGCCTGGACAATTGTGCGTAATGGAAGCCAAAAGACGCTCTCGAAGCTGCAATGAATTTACACTCATAAAAAAATAACTTTGACATTTAAAAAAGAAAAACACACATAGATTAGTAACTTATAAGTACCAATAATAAAAAATATTGTTTTTATGATGATTAAATGTAAGTAAAGATATTTGGCACAATTTGGCACACTTGTGCCAAATTGTGCCAAATGTGCACTACTTGATGAAAAGGAGAAACTGCATAAAAACTATAAAACTTAGAAGTCTGAAACTTTAGACAGTTGTTGTCAACAACACAATGAACAGAGGGTTTGAATATTGTGAACTTACAATGAAGTATGCCTTTTTTAGGGCCTTTAGACATTGAAAATGTTAGGCGAGGCTAAAAAAATTGGGTTTTTTTCCCTAACTTCAAAGGATGCAGAGGAAAATAGGAATGACAAACATTATTTTAGTGTTTTTTTACATAAACTAGCTCATTGACTGCCATTGACGTGTTAACACGTCAAACTAAATAGTAACGTTGTCTGCCAATGACGTGTTAACACGTCAATTGCGTTTCCCGCTATTTTTACGTTCCCAGTTGTCCATTGAATCTAATATGTGGAGATTGGCTTGAGGCAATACTTTATGGAGCCAGCAGATGGCAGCATTGCGCTATGAATGGTTTGAACACAGCTAGATGCACTGTTTGTGGCCCTTTTTTCTCAGCTTTCTGGTGATTTCAATAAAACTTCCCTCTACTCAACTGGGGATTACAGAAGAACTAAACAAGATAGAAACAAAATTCTTTTTGCTGGTGAGAGTAGACAGCCCATTCTTTCAGAATCTAGTTTTAGATTTCAGATAGTCAAAGTACACAATATTCTGTGGGTCTTGAAAAATCAGTAAAAACCACCAGAAACGGCTGGCAATATGGGAGTACCTGTTTTGAAATGGGCTGGCAGTCAATGAGCTAGAAGGCTCTAGCTTTAAAATGATGCATCACACAAGCATGTGAGATGTAAGATGTGTTTTTAAATAAGCAAAGACATTTGGGTATGCCCAACCATTGTGCACGAGCCAAAATGAGGCGGTTGTTAAGAGGTTAAGAACTGAGGTGAAAAAAGTTTTTCGAGACTTTTTAGCCACAGCCAACCAAAGGTACACTGCCACTCAAATTTTCAGCAGTCTGCCATCAAGTACTAAGCAGCCCTCGTTAGCTTCCGAGTTCTGATGAGTTTGGTCATTGATCTTGTCCCATCATTCTCGCGTGCCTGCTCATTGTATTTTCTGTACTTTAGTTGGTGCTTTGTTGGTTCTCTGCATGAGGGCTGCTTGTCTCAGTCCTGTCCTGTGCAGAGGAAGTTTGCTGGTTGTGTTTTGGCTACGAAACATCAGTTCAGTCTCAGGGTTTGGACGAAGCATGCTTCTATTTTTTACTGGCTCTCACTGTAGTCTGTAGTCCACTCAAGATCTAAACGTATGATTACTAGATTTTGCCTCCTTCTTTTGCAGTGTGCAAGAATGAATGTGTTGTTTTTGTGCATGAGGAGAATCTGAGAAGCATGTTGAGTCTAAAAGACTATTTGTGTTTTGTGTTGTCTGTCTGCTCCAAAGTCTTGCTCCAAACCTGTTCAAGAATGGGCATGTTGCAGTACAGTAGTAGTAGATATGACAAAGATTGTTTAAAACTGAATCTGCTGCATCTGATGAGCCAGGTATGTGGTGCAACTGGGAACTTCTACCACTTCCCACTCTAAAATTTCTACTTGTGAGCAGATTGTGGTGCACTTCCTTCACATACAAGTTCAGTTGCACCTAAACTTATAAGGTTTGCATGGTTGGCTTGTAGTTTGGCATCAGCAGCTTTATCAACATGCAATTCATTTGCTGGAATGCTCTTAGGCGGCATGCCAGAAACTATATTTTAAAGTACACAATACACCAGTGTCAAACAGAGGAACATACTTGACTTTTAAATCACTTGCATATCAAGACAGATGTTTGCAAGTAATGCACCCATAAGTATTTAACTTTTTCCAGTCAAAGTAATTATATCTAATTTATTGTTCTTGTACCTCTTGTACCATATGAAGTGGTAGTACAGCTCTGCTTGTGTACAAGTCTCTCCATAGCCTCGCACCAAAATATATTAGTGACATGTTAGTCCCATATGAACCAGCCCGGACTCTGAGGAGCACAGGGACTGGACTCCTGTTAGTGCCCAGAGTCAGAACTAAACATGGGGAGGCTGCTTTTCAGATTCATGCTGCTAAAATCTGGAACGGTCTTCCTGAAGATGTGAGACAGGCCTCCTCTCTGACAATGTTTAAAACCAGGTTAAAGACAGTTCTGTTTAACTGTGCATACAACTGAGGGATTTTATATTTTTATCTTTCTTTTTAATGTTCTGTGATAATTTATGATTTTAATGCTTTCTTGTTTTGTTCAGCACTTTGAATTGCCTTGTGTATGAATTGTGCTATATAAATAAACTTGCCTTGCCTTGCCTTACATATCACACCATTGATATGAATCAAAATGGAACATACATTGTAGCAATGATGTACAACATACTGTATCCAAGAAAGTCAAGTTTTATACTAAATCTTTGAGTATAAGCCTCCAGTTCATTTGCAGTAGTTTGCACATACACTACTGATAGATATGTTTTAGGCTTGCAGTCCCTATACGCACCTCACCTCATCTCTGCACATTTTACATTTTCTGCACAAGGACGATAGGTGTGCATGTGGCTGGGGTCTTCTTCCCATAACGCGGGTCGCCCTGTACTACGCCGCCGTTCCCATAGCAACAGCAGCAGTAGCAGCCACATCAGCCAACGAAGCAGGAAGTCTGTGCGTGTGTGTGTGAGTTTACGGGTGTGTGGCTGAGGAGGGAGAAGGCAGCAGGTTAGCACTGAGATGGGCGTGCATGCGGAGACTGGGGAGAGGGATTTTTACATGGAATCACCTGTGGAGCTCAGCCGTATGAAGCCGCAATATTAAACCTGTGTGCGTGCAATGGAGGGGCTATTCCATGTATACAGCCACGTGTACCCCCTCAACAATTTGTATGCAGACAATTTGACGGTAAGCTGCAAAGGCTGTGCATGATTTACATGTCTGCAAATGTTCTACAAGTTGTGATTTCAATGCATTTCATATCTTGCTTTTGTTTTAAGATGTGCAACAGTGTCACGTAAGATTACCTAATCATTTAGTGTGCCAAGTCTATCTGTCTGTGCACCGCCCCTAGTCAGGAAGCCAATGGTTAAGGGCTGTTATGTCACCTCCACTGCATAGCTATTGGTCCGGGGCAGTGACTTTCCAAATAACTGTACTTCAAAGATTTAGAGCAACTTTTTGTCTATTGGCTGTTTCAGATTGGGATGTAAAATAATGCAGCTTGAATGTTCTTTTTAACACTGCGTCTGTGACATTGTTTATTGCAGGTGATTCTGGTGCAAGTGAATCCTGGGGAGACATTCACTATCCGGGCAGAAGACGGCTCGCTGCAATGCATTCAAGGTGGGGTTTTCACTCTAAACTCTTAACAGCTCATCAAATAATGTGTAATTTATACATAAGACATGAAAATTCAGATTTCCCTTGATAAGAAATGCTGCATCTATCTAGCTTTTATGTTGCAGTAGGAAACCTGTTGGCAAAAGGTGGAAGCCCCTCCACAACAGAAAGTTGCTTAATCCAGTTTGGCACAAAAAAGGAAGCACTTAACCCAAGAACTCTTTGTGAATAGCTTGACTTCATGGCATATTTTTTGAAGAGAGCCAGTCAATAATTCCATAAAGATGAGGAAAGGGAAATAGAGCGGAAATACTGGCATCCAAGTATGTTATCTCCAAAATAAAGAAGCCTGAAAGCGTTGTCTACTGTGTGATGAATTGGTATAGCTGGTAGCCCAGTTCTTGGGTCTATGTGGCTGGATCTGATAGGGGCGACATGAAAAGACTGGAAATGCAAGCCACTTTAAGAAAGAAGGAGGTGGGAGCAGCAGCAGCAGCAGAAGTTGCAGAGGCACGGGAATTCCCCCGAACCCTGTGTGCGTCTCACTTTGATGATGTCAGCGGAGTTAAGCTGCAATTCAGTAACTGTGAAAGAGCTCCTTTGTGTTTCTCCCATAACCTCCTTCTCCCTGTCCCAGGCTGCTCTTTCTACCATGAGTAGGTTTTAATTTTCAAAGCTCCTCACAGACACTACTTGGTCATTTTACCTACCCAGGGGTTATGCAATTGTTGTTTTAGGGACTTGAATGCATTATACTTTGAATATTTGTTGATCTAGATTAATGTTGCTGCTGAGCTTAAAAAATAATGATAGAAAGTAATGTAGCAATATAACTGTTAAAATTGTTTTCATTTCGTCCAATACTATCAAAATAGTCACCTTGTATTATTGAGCTATGTACTGAGCAATTAATTGTAATCAATTACTCATCCCTCGCAATTTTCCCCGTGCATCACTGCATGTGGCTGATGTCGAGGTGCTGTCCTTGGCTCTTTGCCTGCTCTGTGTAGTACAAACCTGTCAATAAAGTCAGTGGCATTTGTAAGAGGAGTGTGTCCTTGCGCCTCAGGGAGAAAAGAGTGAGCAGTGCGCTGGGGATTACAACCCGATGCTAAATGAAAGTCGTAGCACTTGAAGCTTGGATCCCTTCCCCCCCCCCCCCCCCCCCCATCTATAATACATTTTGTTTGTCAAGACCACATGTTATATTATACACAATTATTGCATGCATATTTTGCAAAATGAGCCATGTGAGTCGCTATTTCGTTCTTTGTTTGGGCTGAGAGTTGCTGAGTGAGGGTGGTCCCCTTTTTTTTTTACTCTTTTTGAAAAAGCTGATCTGAAGACTTGACAGAGCCCAGGGAATAGTTTTTTGATACATAGTCACATCTCTTGTGGTTTTAAAGTTGGCTACCCCAGCTTTAAAGTAACTTATAACTGTTATTTTCACTATACTGCACAAGCCAACATGCTCCTTTAATTCTTTTTTTTCCCTTTTTCTTATTTGAGGTCCGATAGCTTTATATATATTTTAATTTGATATATCTTTATATACAAGTATCACCTTCGGATGGGAAAAGTGAGCATGATTTTTTGTACTTCTAACTCTAATGCTGAGGTCTAAACCATCACATTTGTCCTCATTGTATCAGTTTTCTTTTACCACTTGACAAATGAGATGTTGTGGAAGTCATGTCAAACTAACCTTCAAAAGCCATAAAAAAAAGCCTATGGTTTAATACTAGGCATGCAAAGTTTTATAATTATCCATACAGTAATAACAATTTTTTGCTTTGGGCTTGACGGAAATTTAAATCCCGTTGGCTAATTTGGCAGTACACAGGTGGATATGGGCTTGGCCTGGTCATGTTTGAATGCATTTAATATTGAAGCTCAGGCCCCACACAGACTGACTGCTTGCTTCTCGCTGTCCGTCTTTCACTGGAGGAGGTCACTGGGTGTAATTAGAGGCAAATTCATTTTTCTTTTTTTTTCTTTTTTCTTTACCCCTTATAGAAAGACTTGCAGTGTGATTACTGGGCTTGTTTGCTTGTGTACTTGAGAGTGTGCACTTTTATGTGTACTTTTCTTCGCATTTGTGTGTGAGTGTGTGGCTGTGGGGGAGATTACAGAGACCTCCGGGCACAAGCAGGGAGCAGGTTTTATATAAAGTAACCTGTGTTTAGCTGCTGCGCTGTGGTGTGAGCTGCATGCCTCTGCTCACAGACTACAGCCAATAGAGATGCTTTCATTGGCTTGCAAGGATTTCAATCAGGCATCTATTTCAACTTAAAATAAGTTGTAAATACTAGTATTGGATGGACTGTCTAATATATTTTCCCTTCATTATTTGAGCACTGTTGCTGGAACATAATATGCCAGTAATTTGGGTATGACATTGCTTTCAAAAGTGTCTTCTTAATATACATACATTGAACCCATTAACTCCCATTGCATTCCTCAGTCACTCCAGATATAACTTGTAACTAGACAGATTGAAGTCAATTTTCTTTCAATTGTATAAGGAACATTTATTGATTTTGACAAATAGGATTGCGCCTTATTATTCTGGTATTATTTCAACAGAAAAACAAATATATAAGTAATCATTTGACCTAATAGTACAAAGACAGAACACAACTGAACAGTGTGGTACTTAAATCTCTCCCTGATATACATCTTAAAACATTTGCAGAGACTTGACATCTCTTTGAAAAGGATTCTTTGTGGAATATGTTTTCCATCAAGTGACCACTGAGGCACCCTGACCAGTTTGAGGCCACCTTTGATGCAGCAGAAGGAATGATTTTGTGTCAAGAGACTTGTGCTGGTACAGTACATGTGATTTTGCTTATGTTCCCGTCTGCTCCTCGCTGTGTGTGTTTCAACATGTCTCCATCTCATGTTGAAACAGCCTGACCCCGCCGTGCCCCTGTCCACAAGCCCTTTGGCCTTCCACCCCTCGCACTCATCTCTCATGCAGCTCCCATCTCATGTTAGTGAAACCACTGTGGAGCGCAGTCTAGACGCTCAATATATTATATTATTGTGTGTTTGCAAACAAATTGTGGAATCAGGGCTGTGTCAAAAAAAAGGTCAAAGGGTCTCAATATAAGGGTCTCTGTGTGTTTGTACATTTGCGTGATGTGCAGCGGTCCTAATTATGGCAAATCTTCATATGAAATAGAATCAAAAATATCTCATTAAAAAAAATACTTTGTTTCACAAAGTCAAATCTGTGTCAGATCTTATCTGTGGTAGACACATTGATAATGCGCGTCATTTGCATATTGTCCTCTACATCCAAGGTGTCCCTTAAGCCTAGCGTACATCGAGAGAGAAACTGGAGACAACTAGTTGCAAGGCGGCTTTTGGCAACTGAGAGGAGATGATGGAGATGATCAGTTGCTGAAATCGGTCGATGTGAGTGCTCTTACAACTGGAGATGAACAGTCTGTCTCCAGTTTCAGTCAGTTGCCCGTGTTCTACTTTTCGGCAACTAGTTGTCCTCAGTTTCGGAGATATGACCCGATGTGCGCGCTCCATGCGCCGCTCCGACAACCTGTGTGTATTGTGTGTATTGCGAGCCCGCAACAGTTTTTGTCAGAAAACACACTGTAGTTGAGGCCAGTTGCTGTCGATGTACGCGCTGTTATTCCCAAGACTGGTCTGATACTGGGAGTTGCCCGTTTTCGTCAGATTGTCGATGTGTGTGGGGCAGCAACTCATATGCGACGGATATAATCAGTTGCCAGTCTGATGTACGCTAGGCTTAAGGGAGACTATCCTGTGAGTGCACTCACCTATGGGAAGGCACTTTTCTGGTGAGGGCACTCACACCTGGAGGGTCCTCACAATTGGGACGGGCCATAGCCCGGGGTTAGGGCATACCTCTTTTCATTCAACTTTCACACCAACTTCCACCCCAGGTCATCTAATCAATGGTAAAACAAGGAAGAAAAACATAATAAAGGGAACAAAATTGTAACATTATAATCCCAGCTCTCCCAGCTCTATTGCTAAGTGTGTAAATATTCTACTAATGTACTGAATACTCTGGTATAAGAACTGCAATATTAATAATCCATCAGTTTTATACAGCACTTTTTATGGAACACTTCACATGTCATTATTCATTCACTCAATACGCAGTCGTGGTAAAACTACTTCTGTAGCCGCAGTTGCCCTGGGCCACACTGACAGATGCAAGGCAACCAATTTGTGCCATCGACCCCTCTGAAACTGTACGCACTCAAAAATAACTTTAAAATTATATTATAAATAGTTATATATCTTTATTTTTAAGCAGTGTTATACATTTCGAAATGCATCGTACACACACCCATGGAGTATAAGTCATTTCAGTACGTAAATCTGAAACAATAAAGAAAGTCGGAAAACAAAATGGAAGCTTTGACTTGCCTCCTGACACTGCAACAAACTGTTGCACAACAAATTGCAGACATAGCAGCCGTTCATCAGAGCAATTGGTAGATTAAAAATGTTTTCCAAGTCTTATCTTTGGATAGGTTAAAACTATGGACATTGTTGGATCATAATGAAAATCGTTAAACCAGATTAAAGGCATATTTAAGTCTTAACCCAACAAGGAATCGATCAAGAAAACCCCTCACTGGGCTGCAGCTTTCCAACAGCCTAGTATCTAATCACTTATTAGGTTGCCCTGCTATCCTTAACTTATATTGTGCTGACATTTCGCAACCCTCCCCCCCCCTTGCCCATCACCTCCAGTGTCCCTCCCCCGCCCCCTCCGTCCCACCAAGACCGTTCCCCTGAGCTTTCCCACACTCACTTCAAAGGGACAAGACTGCGGAGGGGTGTGTGCAAGCTCCCTGCTCTGGAATGCCAATGTGTTAATATGGCTCTATGTGCGCTTTACAAGGCTGTGTTGGTTTACTGTGTTGTTTGCTCCTTTGTTGGACTTTTATGAGGGATGATGAGGCAGCAGGGGGAGGGCAGGATGCTGGGACCAGGAAGGGCAG